CCCAGCACCTTAACATCTCTGTCTTCGCGACGTCGCGAGATCACTACCATAATACCCATACAGTCAAACAACCAATTATTAACACGCACACACCACATCGATCACTCACTCTCGTCATCTCTGTCCTACTCCTACTCCCACCCCTCATCCTCCATTCACCCTGTACAACAAACACTCCATCAACATCCACCAACAAAATCACATTCTACAACTCCCCTACTAAAACACCCACAAACACCAAATACAATTCGCACGTATAAATACACACCAGCACCCTCAAACATACAATAACACGAGTCACAGAAAAAGGACACATCGGCGACTAATGGTCTTCAGTCGATCAGAAAATACTGAGAGATTGAGTTCGACTCGTTCAGTAATGAGTATCTCCTATTTTAAATACATTGCATTGTACTGGCTCACTTTCCAGTGATAATCAATTGTTAACGGGAAGACAAGTGAATGTGATTGCAGCCATCATGAATGAGAGTTTTTCTATTGACAGTGTGCTGTGTGAGTGTTCAGTGATCAATCATGTGAAAGTAAATGTGAATGGAAATTAAAGGAGACGAGGAGATGGTTAACTTTTCTTTGACAGTTAATGTATGTATCTTCCGGTGTGTGTTTTGGTAGGGGTGGTGGTGAAATGGTAGTGTGGATGTATTCTTATTTATGTAGTTTTATTGCTATGAGGTTTGAGTGTCTATACGTTTATTTTGACTGCAATATCAATAGAGATGAATAAACATCCTGATTACGAACAAAATCAAATAAAAAAAATAAAAACGAACAAAGATATTAAAATCATCCCTGTGCCCAAGTCAGGTTCTGGTAATAATGCTAAGTTTAGACCTATCGCTATTACCTCTCCTTTTTTGAAACTAATGGAGAAATTATTGTTACTAAAACTTGTTCCCTCCCTAAGTTTCTCAAACGATCCAAAGCAGTTTGCTTACAAATAGGGTAGAAGTACTGTGGACGCTGCTGCTGTGTTTCATCACAACATTGTATCCTCTTTAGACAAAGGGGCCAAGTATATCCGTTGTACGTTCCTTGACTATACATCTGCTTTCGACTCTGCACCTAGAGGCCTATTGTTAAACAAGCTTAGCCTTACACAAACTGAGCCCTGGGCTATCAACTGGCTACACTCTTACTTCTCTAATAGGATGCAGTACACGTATATAATGGTGTATCTTCCTCTCCTTTGCTTACTGAAGCTGGAGTTCCTCAGGGTGCTGTTCTCTCTCCGTTTCTCTTTTCCTTCTTCTTACATGATTTACCTCTTTCAGATGAAATAAACTTCGTCAAATATGTAGATGACCTGTCTGTATCGTTTCCCAATAAGTCTCAGTCAGACTGTTTCAAATTAAATATCAGTCAGTGGTCTAAACTAAATGGTCTCATGCTGAATCCCTCAAAATGCCAGACTGCTGACTTCTCCCTTAGGTATAAACGAGATCTACAAACACTAGTAAGTACTCATGAAGCCTGTTCCATTGAAGGAATTAAAATTGAAACTAAGTCTAATGCAAAACACCTCGGTCTAGTTCTATCTTCCGACTTTACTTGGACATCTCATATCCGAATGATTTCTAAGAAAGTGTTCTGTCTTACCTACTACATTAAGAAACTTAGATAATCTGGAATCACCCAACCACTACTTTCACAATTTTTCAACTCTTGTACCTTACCTATTCTACTTTACTGCTCCCCGTTAGTCTTTCCTGGGCTACTGAAAAAGGACTACACCATCCTGAGAAGGATGTTGAAGGTAGTTAGTAGGACTGGTGGTGTAAAACTCAGTCAGCTCGTCACTACATTAGTTGAAAGGCATCTGAATACATGCGAAAAATGGTCTTAAACCATACTCTCCGACCCCCAGCACCCCCTCTATTCCCAAATCTCTCCCTGTATCTCATCAAGTAGAACCAGAAATCAGTATAAAATAATTTATGCTCGTACAACTAAGTACAGGAACTGAACGATACCATACTTGGTCCTTGTTCTAAGCGACCGAGACAATGTTAAGCGTGAAACCTATGACTTGCTTTGTTGTTAACAACATAATTTTAGGCTCTTTTATTTCTCTCTTATTTTGTATTCTAAAGTGAACTCCTTCTCAAACATACTTAGCTACCTAAATTATTAACATTGGCTTACTTTTTGTACTTTACTCTATTCCTTCTTTTGTGTATCTACTGGTTCCTACTATATTAGCACTATGAGTAGTACAAAATTTTCCTGTCATTAACCATCATGTAATTATTAGTTTTGTGGTTTTACGAGTTGATCACTGACTGATTTCAGTTAGAGAACCATTGAAAACCAACACTGGAGTACTGGACAGCTGCTGTTTCATCCAAGTTTGGGAATCATCGGCAGTACGCACCCACTGGGATTCGAACCCGGGCAAGGCAAGCTCGTATACCATTCAGCCACTGGGACCCGATTCAATGGCTCATGAATTCTAACTTCTACCAATTCGTGATTTTAGCGCGACCCCAACTATTGTCGTTGGTGGAAATCCATCCACACGTGACTTCTAATTGGACCTCACTGGTCACGACTTCTCACTAGAACTGCAGGAAGCTCCAACCTGTAGCAAGTCACTAGCGAGCACCCGGAAGGTCCCGGGTTCGAATCCCAGTGGGTGCATACTGCCGATGATTCCCAAACTAGGATGAAACAGCAGCTGTCCAGTACTCCCTGGTTTTCAATGGTTCTCTAACTGATATCAATCCGTGATCAACTCGTAAAACATAACTAATCCTTACAAACCAAACTATAGAAAAGTTTTGTGGTTGTTTTTTTTTCGTACGGCAATATTAACTGACAATCATTGGTTGTCAACGCCAATATCATCATCTTAAAATTTTGTATTATTCAGGATTACTCACACTACCACCACAAACACTGCAATAGAGCTGTCAATAAAAACCCTGAAATGTTATTTTATGATTGTTTAGTGTTGTTGTTGTTGACTTGCTCTGTTATTAACAACATAATTTTAGGCTCCTTTATTGCTCTCTTATTTTGCATTCTATAGCGAACTCCTTCTTAAACATACTGAGCTACCTAAATTATTAACATTGGCTTACTTTTTGTACTCTACTGTATTCCTTCTTTTGTGTATCTACTGCTTCCGACTATATTAGCACTATGAGTAGTATAAAATTGCCCTGTCATTAACCATCATGTAATTATTAGTTTTTGTGGTTGTTGTTTTTTTTTGTTCGGCAATATTAACTGACAATCTTGGTTGTGAACGCCATTATCACCATCTTAAATTTTGTATTATGCAGGATTACTCACACTACCACTACAAACACTGCATTAGACCTGACAATAAAAAACAAAACAACAACCCTGAAATGTCATTTTATGATTGTTTAGAGTTGTTTCAATCAAATTAACTGATCTTCTTGGCGATAAACATTCTTAAATATCAGTTCATAACTTCTTGTATGACTATAGCTCTACTGTCACCATACATAATCACATCACAGCTTGCACTACCCAATACTGAGATATCATTATATGCTGTTTGTTTTCCTTTCTACTTCTTGGTATTTTTTCGCATTTATAATTATTTTTGTGTTTTTTGTGTTTTTTTGCTGTTGTTGTCTTTAATATTTATTATTTCTTTTTGAAATACTCCTTTTAAATGTTTGATAAAATTAGATGCAAATATTTTAGATATGTGCTGAAAATTCCACACTGTACCACTAGTACTGTTTCTGAAATAAAGCAAATTATTATTATTAGTAGTAAATCACTATGAAAATGTTTTGGTACATTTTTAATTAGTAAATGTGTGCAACTTATGCACTGACAAGTAATTCACGTAGTAAATTGCAGTTTACAATCAACAATTTCACTAAAATCGAGTGTAAATTTTTGCTACAAACTGAGTGAACTCAGAAAACCGCTCGAACTAGGCAGTACCAGACGGATGTTTTCTAACCACCAGGGATACTTTAGAAGCAAACACCATTTATTTTACCATAGGTTGATCCCAGACACTTCGAATGACGGGACTAGCACATCACTGTTTATCTATGGGGTTGGGATTCAAAGATTTATGAATGTTGTTCTCTGTAAATTTGCGATACATGAAACTACCGAAAAATACGAGAGCGTCCGATAATCTTTTCCTCCTAGTTTGGAAATCTCTTGCATTGTACACCTCTTCTATTCTTCCATAATGGCATAACAATTCTGTTCGGGTCTTCACAAACTCTGTACTTAAAAATAGTTCAAAAGCTGAATTGTAATCAAGCTGAATAAAATACTGATTCCTAATTATTATTAAAAAATAAATGGAACGGGTATTGTCAATGGACGTGAACATTGAACGTTTGTTTATTGGAACTGGCAGCCATTGGTGGGCAACTCGAATGCGCGAATGGTTCGATCGTGTGCAAGTTGAATGAAGGCGGAAAGGAATACGAATAAAAGTACTTTATAACTTCATTTGTACTAAACATTTGTTTGTAGACTCTGTATTTTGTTTCGCTTTAATTGCCGAACAATAAAAATTCGTTCAAGGAATACTGGTGTTTTGGATTTAAAGTTGAAACGAAATACTCAGTCATTATCGGTTCCAATCGCCTACGTTACAATAGGAACTTGGGGCTAAGTTCCTTGACAGGTATACCTTAGTGGAGGTTCTAAAATCCTTGAATAAATAGCTGTGCTTCAATCAATAATATAGAATTTATGCTATTTCACTGCGGGTTATATCTAATAAGCTTTCCAATATGGAATCTGACAGGTTATATTATGCCTACAACAAAAGAAGGTTGCAAAAGAAAACACTAACTGCTAATTATTTATTAGCTGAATACCGATAAATTAACAAGGAGTCTTTCGTAACAGATTAGAATATGATTTTTATTAGAAAATAGATCAAGATATGGAGATAATAAGTGTCACATTTGTCTAAGTTACAATAAGCGATAATCTGCTCTCACTTTCTTCAGAATGTACTTTTCACCTCAATAAGGGTTTATCAAATCTAAAAATATGAAAAAAAGTCATTGATGTGAATTTTAGTATATATATATATAAACTACAGTTTCACTGATGTAAAAATTCTATTTTAAGGCTGGAACAATACTGAGGCTTTTCTACATTCAAAACTGTTATCTTAGAATGAATTAAGAGGATACTTAGTCGAACAGCAGTATCTCTGTTAACGAGAAGAAGACCTTTCCTGCCGCAACGCTAGGAGTGATACTCTCTAGCCCCCCACTGCTTCTAAGGAATGTAAAAGATGTGCTCCGGCTTATGACCACTGGAATGCGCATATATCGATTCACCTGCTTCTTTGGGTCGTTCTATGCATGCCTCTTCAAATCACATCGGTAAATATCATCCAGCATAGCTGCAAAGAGGAGACATTGATTCAGTCAGAAGCACCATAATTTGTCACCTTGTCAACACCTGTCACAACTTATCAACTGACTCATTATGCAGAGTCATTTATAACGTAAACAAGAATAGATCAGAGGCAGTATGTTTCCGAATTCCTCTGCATTGAAATGTCAGGCTTGCGTATTAAAAAGAAACTAGTCCAACCTCCTCATTTGCCATGGATCTGGCTCGGTATGACTCCTTATTTTTTGTCTTCTGTATTTTGTTTCTTCATTCCCTTCATTTTTCATTTTCATCTATAAAAACTATTATTTCAATTTGTTTCCGTGCTCATCTCGTTCATACCTGTCTTTGTTGAAAGCTATTTTACACATCACGCAACTAGTTTCTAATCCTGCGTGATTTTGTTTCTAGGCCCTTTGTAATCTGCATTCACACCTTCAAACTTCTTTATCAAGTTGAAAATTATTATCACCTTTAATCTTCTCCCTTATCATGTAGAATTAAGTTGATAATTGTATCTGTCTAACCTTATGTATGTAAATGCAGTTGTATGGCTGCTGTTGAGGATGAAAGATGAGGAAGAGGTGGGTGCGTACTGATGAAGAGTCCCAAACTAGGACGAAACAGCTGTCCAGTACTCCCAGGTTTTCCAATGGTTCTCTAACTAATGTCAGCTCATGATGAAAATCCTGTAACCAATCAAATCACTACAAACCAACACTTGAGGAAGATATCTGTTTGCTGAGCTACTTATTCTATTGTCTCTAATTTCCTGGTGAGTATTTTTTAGGATTTGAAAATGAGCCTCTAGTAACTATTCTCTGCTTCTTTTATCTATCCGTTTAAAATAATGACTGGTTTTAGGTCCCTTTTGCATATATATATATGTATATATATATATGCATATATATATATATATTGAAACTGGTAGTTGTCGAAGGTTTCAACTTACACGCTATTCCTCTTGTAACAACCCTTTAATGAGGTATTTTGAAAAATAAGATAATAAGTAATATTAGTTGAACAGTGTTGAGTAGAAAATCTTGTTTTGAAAAGGTTTACACATTTTAACACGATATATACTTGCTTATGTATAAATACATAGGCATACATAAACTCTGTACAGACTATTTGAGGTCAGCAGGTAAATGAATTTCAAACATTAGCGTAATATTTATATCACAGGAAGCGTAATGTCAGACACGATCACTGTCTTCTGAAGAATTCTCTAAAAGTGACTAATTTTCATAAAGTGAGTCAGCTCAGATCCGCATATTTCGCTCAAACACACTGAAGTTTGAAAGAATTCACAAAACAACATGGTTGGCCTCTTCTTTCATTCACTTACAGTTTTAAATTATGCTTCGTAGATCTAAATAGGACTAGCCTTTCTTCATTTGTTTTTAACTAGTAAATGATTAAAATGTTCGGTGTTTATTTCAACAGAATGATGGATTCTGTTGCTAACTCCATTGATGATCAGAGACGTCCTTATGAAACAGCTTTTTCTGAGTTTATTATGAGTGATCAGCTGTAAATATTTACTAGGCAAATGGAATCTGAATTTACATTGGGCGATTTGCTGAACATGTGCGAGATAGCCTGCGGTTCAAAGAAACAAACACTTTCGATATTGCAATAGCTGGGCATCTCATCAATATGGATCATGAGGTGGACATTGTGAATCCCTTTAAAATTATCACTGGACGAATTAGTTCACTTGTCTTCAAGTCTGAAGAAACAACTGCTATGAGACGCTTGAAACCCAATATACACATTCAGAAAGAAGCTGTTATCAGTGTTTCCTAACCCTGATAACTGAATATCTTTACTGCATATTTCATTTGATTATGTAATCTTTGGCTTTAACCTCTCCTCCTTTTGATGTAGTGTACCTTTACTTGTCTTTTGAACTGAACTCATTATATTGTGATTCAACTTATGAGTTACTCATGCAAGTCTTTTTCCAGTGTACACAAGGCACACAGACGATATGCTTTAGAGGCAGACTAGGTTATGTGAGGTATTATTTAATTTAAACAATGTTCAAATATATACACGCATACTTTCATAATGTTTGCACATATGTGATATTTTGATCCATTGTGTTGTAAACTTACTCGAATACATAATAAAGAGGACTATAATTTGATTCATTTTAAATAAATTAAAAGAAGACAATCAATTTAGTTAAGAATTCAAAACATGATTGATTGTAAATGTTAAAAATAATAAAACCATCTGTCAAGTCACATCAAGGAACACTAGAAAACATACTTTACTATCCATAGTGGAATTCTGAGGTGCGGAAAATAAAAAAAAATAAAAACCATCATTTGTTTAGTTATACTTGAAATAGCGCTCACTTACTTTAGAGTAGCCAGATTTATGAGATGCCAAGAAAACCTACTTCATATTTCTCTAATTTATCCAGATAAGTTAACTGTTATACTCAGTATGAGGAGGAAATTTAGACCCTTCATTGACAGTATTCGTGATTTTGCAGTTTACATAAGTAAACTATTGATGACCTTGATTTCTTGGATCAAATAATATTAACATTTTGAGGTTATTTTGTGGATGGTGACTAGCAGTGAAAGCCAATATGCAGGTTACGTCCTTTTTGGGACTCTTCATCTAGGTCTACCTGTATTGCCAGTGAATGCTAATTTTTCCACTGGGACTCAAACCTAGAACGCATCGTTGTTCAGTCAATCAACGGAAAAATTAAGATTAAATTAAAAATAAATTACATTAACACTTTCTATAGAATTTCATCACAGTTCACTCAGTTCACGAAGTTTACTTTCAGTATTCTTTCAAAGATAAAACAGAAATGAAATGCGGTTAGGACACTAGTATTATATCTAAACGAAACTTACATAGGTGGAGAATTAAAACTGAAGATAAAAGTGTTTTCGATGAGATGTTAGATTTTAAATCAGTATTCTTTTTACCATGAAAAAACAACAAAATTTTTTACTGACTATTTTTAAGTAGGTAAAGAAAACAGTCCCTTATGGAATTTGAAAATGAAGAAAATTTCATTGTGAATTTCGTCACTAGGAGATATCGGCTAGAGAATGGCTGAAAATCACTTAGGAGTGAACAGCTGTTTACTCCTGATTCATGGCTCTGTGGTAATGCACCCTGATGACCTTACCAAGGATTGAACCTAGGGACCTTGAGGTTACTAGATGAACACATTATTATCCTGCAAACATGTTTGAATTCAGTCACCCTATGTATTCCAGATGCTGTCAATTCACAGAAAGGTATTTCCAAGCTAAATAGTTTTTGCACTGTACTATGGTTTCATATAGTAGTCTTGAAAAAAGTATTCTTCTCTTCGACGTTCGAAAAAAACTAGCATGCTGCAATAACTTTAGCATGTGCTCAAAGGTTTTTTAATTCTCCTGATCCAGCTAATGATGAGCAATATTTAGTGGCCAAGATGACCTCGTGCAATCCTTTTTAGAAAATAATCTGCAAAGTACCAGCAGTTCTTTAGTTTTCGAAAGACTGGTGCCGAACTGGAATATTTCGCTTGTCCCATATTTATAAATAGGAAGATAGGACATTAAACTGCTTTATCGACTTGAATGGTGGGTTTTAGTTTGTTCTCATTCATCAGATAGACTTTCATAAGTAAAACTCTTTCTAGTCACACATAAAAATATTAAAAGTTTATTGGTTAAATATGAGCTTACATCTCGGTCAGTGCTTCTTCTGGAGTTCTATGTAACACAATAAAAGGTAAAAATGCATATTATTACATAGCGAAATCCAAGATACATAACTTGATATTACTTTTCTTCAGTTTCTTAATATCTTTACATGTATGATGCTCAGTTACAATAAGCACAGTAAACGAATCATTCTACTGACAGCATACCAGTTGGCTATCATAATATATATGTATATAGTGCACATTTTAGCTCTGAATGTGCTGAGAAAATGTTACGAACTAATTATGCCTCACCAACCTGGAGAGAATAAAAGATGCTGTGCATGCTGAATTCCACCTGAAACAAGCTGCACTCAAAAAAGCAAACCACGCTGAGGTTAAATTGCAGCTCTACAGATCATCATCGAAGAAAGCATGTAGTGGTATTCAGATGTCTGCTTCAACTTCATTGACTTTGATAAGGCCTTCGACAGCGTTGACTGTGAAACTGTTCACAAACTGCTACGGTACTGCAGAGTGAAATGCTGCAAAATGTTTGAGCCCAAACCAACAGCTATATGATGATGCTACTCGTCAAGTGATTCACAACAGAAAACCCATCGAAGTTTTTGAAGTGGGCACAAGAGTACACAAGGCCGCTCAATGTCACCGACGATATTCCTAATTGTAGTGGACTGGACCATGTAGAAGACTATGGGCAGCGAGAAGGCAGTATATTGAAGCGGTACCATGATTAGAAGATTTGGCATTATCGAGCATTTTAAGTTTAGTAAGACGTGAACTCGAAGATCTATGGACAAAAACCAACAAGTTGGTAGAAGAAGCAAGCAGTAATGAAAGAAATTCAAGTGAACATAAAGAAGACAGAGGCGACGAAGATGCCTAACCAACAATAAGTACTAGCTACCATCAACGAAGTGCCTCGGCAACATCGTACCAGCTACAGGTGACATAGGTGAGGATATGAAAGGTAAAAGTGAGAAAGCAAGACAGAAATTCATCATTCTGAAGTCATTGTGGAAATCTACACCACTCAGAATAAGGAACAATATTTGGATTTTCAGTATTGATGTCGAAACCGTCAGGGCCACTATATGGTTTAGAGAATCGGCATGTCACCAAAAGCATTTCGAATAGTCTACAGACCTCCATCAACAGCTACATTCCTTGGCTTCATACCAAAGATTGGGATATCAGCCAGAAGGGATTAGCAATAAGAAATTTTGGGAACGAACCAATTAAGAATCTATTGCTCAATAAATATGAAGAAGTAAGTGGAGATGGGTAGGACAAAAGCTGAAAAGACAGTTAGATGAAATCGCGCGATAGGCGATCGGTCAAGTGGAACCTGAAATAGAAAAGATCACTTGGATTGGGTCCGAGGTTGACATGAAGGAGATCATGTAATGAGGAAATGAAATTTTATGGGTAATCAAGGAACCAGATAAAAATGGCTCTAAAGAACAGGATGAAGTGATGTGCTGTTGTGGCCCTATGTTCCACTTGATACCAAAAGGAATAATAATAAGGAAATGCAGAAATGTTGTAAACTGTGGGTCATTTCGCTTTTGACCACATATTTATTCAGCAGCTTGACACGAAGACCGAAATACAAGTATTTCGCTGATAAACCCTCATGAAATTCACCGATCTGTACACTGTAGAAATTATCTTTAAACACAACTGAAATTAGTTACTAATTGTTAAAGTGAGCAACTGTTTGGTTTAGATATTCAAGCGATCACAGCCTTATTTCTTCACTTTACATCTAAAGGTATTACTGTATTCAAGTAACACTATTAATACTCAGCAATCGGTACAGCTTGTGAATGAGTGCGCGGCACCGATATGAATACGAAATACATGATCCATACTTTTCTTAAGCCAATTTTACACTTTTGTGACCTTATATCCACGTTGAAAATTGTGGGAATTGTTTGTAAAAGGTATACCATGTGATGACTGTACAACCATATATTAAAACAAAAATAATAAAATTATTTATTATTATTACTGCTCCTTTGGATTCCGAATGGAATATAGGGCTTCAACAACACATTTCTATTTTGTTCTATTTTCTGCTATCCTCTTTAGCTGGGCCAACGTTCGCCCATAATCTCTCATTTCCCCCATGTCACTCTCGCACTGACGACCTACTTGTCGCTTCCCATTCAACTTCCACTCGAACGATGAACTGACATGCAATGTCATTCGATGTTCTCCTTAGTGTGTAATCCCTGTCCATCCCAATTTTCTCCTGCGTATTTCTTGAATGACAAGTTTTTGGTAAATTTGTTCTCACAGATTTTTTTTACTAATTCATTTCGGCCATTGAATCTTCATTATGGTGTAGTGAAGGCAGCTACTGATAAAAGTCTGCAGTGACCTGTTGGAAATGCTCTTCGTAACGCTGGCGCAAAGTTTCTGACTCATAAAGAAGGACTGACTGTACTGGTATTGGTGTTGAAGATCCGAATTTTTTTCGTAATAGTGAGTAAAGAAGACTTCCAAACTGATTTTAGATTGCGTGGAGGAGGATTTCAGATTGATGAAGATATATCTTGCCTTTCCGATTCTGGCTGACTTTGACATCTTCATTCGTGCAGTGTGCTTGTGGTTGAAACGATGTTTACTAGATAGATGAAGGAAGTAAACTCTTTCGGATTTTTCGCGCTGATGGTGATTGGTGCTGTTTGTTATTGCTGTTGGTTGGCTGGTTATCTTCACCACCTCAGTCTTTTCTACATTCACTTGGAGTCCTGACTTAACTGCCTACTTCTTCAACTAGTTTGTTAGTTTTCGCTTGCATGTTTTCGAGTTTGCCTGACATTAAACGTAAATCATCCACGCGTAAAATTTTGATCATCCAGAGTCATCTTATCAATCCAACGTATTCCTCCCTTCCCACTTCACACAGTCTGACACATGATCCAGCCCATTACAATCAGGCATGTCATTAGTGATAGTAAGCAGCCTTGTCTTACTCCATTCTGTCTTCACCTTAAAAGCTTCTCTGAGTTTCCCGTTATAGTTCACCTGACACAAGGTATTGTCATATAGCTGTTGAGTGAACAACAATAATAAAAAAGGCTTCACTAATAAAAAAATCAAATACCAATATTTTCAGCCTGTGCCTTTTTAAATAAACACCCGCAGTTTAGTAGAATAACCTGCTCCTCTTTGAAAACTTCTTTACTGAAACAAACAGAGATTAGAAGTAGAACCATCTGATGTGGTTCAGCTAAATTAGGTATTTAGCTTTCATTATAAATAATTAATTCTGACCAAGGATAGTTATAATTTTAAGGTATTTTGCAGCCAGTTGACCCACTGAGTGTCCTCAAAGTTGTTTAGCTGACAAGTAACAGTTGACAGAATATGATTTTCTTTAATTACTATTGTTGATAATATAATTATGATTATACTGTTCCCTTGAGTTCCGAGTGGAACATAAGGAGGGCTTCAGCAGCACATATGATACTTTAGAATGCGTCATTTTATAATACTAAAGTGATTGAAATTACCTCTGAAAATTTGATATAATTGTTTTCTTAGAAAAAAGTGAACAGGTTTTCTCAATCTACAGAATTTGATATCGATGAACGCTTTGCAAGATCTTCCTTTGATTCAATATCCTAATCCCTCAATTGTAGTTTGCGTGATTTTCACAACTTAGTACTTTGAAAGTACAAAAGATATTCAGCACCTTAAGCTAAGCGCGTTTCACTGTACCACTAAGAAAGTCGACTAGCAATAGGTTAATAGAAGTGAAGAATAAGGACATTACCTTTTCCTTTTGTTTAACTAGTTTGTATACTCTTCCTTATACTAGTACTTAGAATTGTTTCCCCCTGTTGTTTCATTTATCTCCCTTAATAATCCAACTGGGTATGCATCTTGCTATATAAAGCTGTGTCTCAGCAAACTTCTCATATTAACGGGTGATGTTCCTTTCCCTCCTGGAAGAAACAACCTCTTGTACCTACCTACCTGGGAAGCATCGTTTTAACTACAGGAAGACGGAATTGACGAGGATATCAAAGCAAGGATCGGAAAAGCAAGACAAGCTTTCACTACTCTCAAGTCTGTGTGGAGGTCAACAGCACTCACCATCAAAAATAAGATCCGGATTTCCAACTCCAATGTGAAGTCAGTGCTACTCACCATACGGATCAGAGACTTGGCCAGCGCGTCATAAAGAGCATCTCAAACAAACTACAGACCTTCATTAACAGTTGTCATCGCTCAATACTACTCAAGATCAGATAGTAAGCCAGAAAAGATCAGCAACAGGGATCTTTGGGAACGAACCAACCAGGAACCGATTGTGAAACCAATAGGCAGGAAGAAATGGAGATAGATTAGCTGGCCATACTCTGAGGAAACAATCCATCAAGTGACATCACTAGACTAGCCATTGCTCGAGTGGAACCCGTAAGGGAAGCGGCGAGTTGGTCGTCCAAAGATGACTTGGAGGAGGTCATGTGAAGAGGAGATGAAAACGTGTGGGCAAACTTGGAGCCAGGTGAAGACTCTAGCAGAGAACAGAACGCAATGGAGACGCACGGCTGAAGCCCTATGTTCCTGTAGGAATTAAAGGATACAATAATAATAATATAATAATTTAACGCATTAGTTTTAACCTTCTCTCTATGACATACACATTCTATCTAATATATTGCATAACCTCTTTTATTATTTGACTTTCAGCTGTAATTGTAATCGGTGATTAATTTTATTAAAATCATTATTGGTAGTTGAAGTAGTAGCATTTACACCTTTTTTGGATTTCCTTACAGGATGAGGTATTTAAAGAAACCACATATATACATATACGATTGTATGACTTGATAAGAAAGTTTCCAAAAGCTGTCCCTTCGCTAAATATTGTGTGTTTAGTGTTACAAGTGAGATTCGCAGATATTATGACGTAAATTCGAATGGGAATCATCTTGATACGGTGAATAAATGAGGTAGTATTTGGTGGTAGGATTGTTTTCGGCGAATGACATATTCCCTGAAGACAAAGTGTTCGTATCCTTTTTTATTTTGTCTCCATTTCATGTTTTCTATATTGATTGATTGATTCACAAAGATCTTTCAATTTTTCTGTCTTCTCAATCAAATCCGTTTGTCCGCTACTCAAGATTCTTGTAGAAGACATCACATACAGTTTACTGGCGCTATAAATTCTTCCTAGCTGCGCATGCCACAGCCGTTTAGCTCGTCAAAAAGTTGCACGGGAAATCACTCTAACCTTTTTGGTGTTGCCTGTTCTTGATGTGTCTTAGTACAAACTTCTTTATCCCACTATATCCATCTCTAAAGCTGACTAGCGTTAACACATTTCTACTTTTTCACCTCTTATGATGCGTTATAAATAGTCAGTTTAATTCAGTGGTACAGCCAAGTAACATGAAGCGTTCTCATCTTTTATTTTAGCCTAATGAATGTGGTAATAACTCTGTTGAAATATACATATATTAGATAAACTTATTATCTGGAATCTCAGCTATTCAGTATAATTCACTTCAGTACGAAATAGTATGAAAGGTGAGTCAATAAATATATAAAAACTACTTTCAACTGAAAGCTTGACATTTTGTTATGCTTCAGTCAGTCTAGAGTTTATCTATTTTATCGCTTATGATAAAATTCATGAAGTCATAAAATATCTTGAGCTTACCGTGGGAAATCTGGAAATTGACTAGATGAAACCATAAAAACATAAAACAACAATCCAGTTGTTTGCATTTCATGAAATTAGCTAACATTATACTTCATTGAAAAATTAAATTCTCCTTTTTGATCTCACTATTGTTGATCGTCTTCAAAAATCAAGTAGCTATCACTTAGGGAAACAGACGTATCTGTTTGACATTATAATTTTCATATGAACCATAATTATCAATACTTTTAGCCTATTTGTATTATTTTTTGCTATTAACTACGTGCATTTACGATGGTGCTAATGCTATACCTTCTAGTCGTTCATCTCTTCTGTCAACAGATAGAACTCTGCAAAGGTAGGGATTAGTTTAATAGCCACATTATAGTGAGTGAGCAAATACCCACATCATCTGGGAGAAAACACCACAGAGACCAGCGAATTTTATGAATATAGGGTTGTTATTTCCCTAGATATAGAATGCCGAAACCACTTTTAATGTCACGCCTATATGTTGTTAGAAAACTTACTCGTCGTATTCTGGCACATGGTTTCCTGTAAGTCTGTAATTGTGATGATAATAATATTGATAGTCGTATTCTGGAGAAGGTGTGTTTAAACATGGCGCACAATTCTCAGTGTAATTTATTGCATAATATTTTCGCTTTATCTAGAATCTACAAGTAAAATAGCATCATGTGGCATGATGCTGATCACTCTGAAGCACAGGCTAATTCCTTATGACATTTCTTCTTACTCCCCGAAAAATGTGCATCTGTAGTTTGAAAGACAATTAAAAAATTTGCACGAGCACCTTTTCTCACTCAAGGATATAGTTAAATTGTCGAATTATTAAGAATTAAAAAGAAATACGATTCATTGTACTAGATGGAAATTCAGGTAGCCCATTGATTCAAGCAGGCCGCCGCAGATCCTTGCAATTGAAACTATTATACAATATGGATTTTTTCAAAATGCCTAGGTCGAATGAAATTAAATGAGAGTTGGGAAAAAATTTGCCTAATATATTTTAATGTTCTGACATAATGCTGGATATTACTGACTAAACAAATGGACATCGAATGTCTAGACTATACATTTAAATGGTTTACAATTACTCATATTATTTAGTTCTTTGTTATTCAGCAAAACTTCGCTTTGCAACAGCGTATATATATATATGAGTGGAAATCAGTTGCTGAACTTTTTCACGCGAGTAAATCCTTACAGGTATTTGGTAGTCAAGATTTTACTTTAATTTAGAGTTATCTAGTTAATATTGGATAACAATGGAACATGATTGCACCCAAACTTGGGGCTCGTTGCCTGGATGTATCTAGGATCAACGCGACTCAAACCCGGCAACCTTCGTACTGAATGCCGAAGCGTTATCCACTAAGCCGTTGGCTTATGACAGCCAAAACGAATATTTCAGTAAATATTCACCAATCTGGCATTGTTTCCCTTCAACTGCGGAATAGTAATAACCATTTTATAATCCGATGAAGTTGTCTAGTCATTTTATGACAGCTACAAAAGTGTATAAATAAGAGAAATGCATTTTACTTACTGTCGTTTAGGAAGTGGTTTTCTGAAAAAAATTGATTAGTATAACAATCATGAATATTTTATCACTTTATACAAGTCTGTTTAAGACCTGGAATACCTAGACACTTCATCATTATACTGCATATAATTTTTGTTCATTTTGGCTTAATCTACTAAAATGTGACCTCTGATGGTGTTTTTTACTCTCATGAATATTGAGAATGTCTACAGTCTGTTGATTCGCAAAATTTCGCCAAACTTAAGAAAAAGTAAAATCGTTCTCGTACAAACTGCCACTGCTGGAGAAATAAAACTCATTACTTGTAGTCTTCAATTATTTAGCTATTATCATGCTTTTGGGTCAAAAATTGTTCCCTGGCTCCTTTTTCAAATGACTTTAAACTAGTGATGATAACGTAAATAAGAGAGAATATAAGGCATCTACTGTTATACCATACAAGAAGGGGACCCTTCCTACGTAGGATTCTTAATAAAGCAGGAATTAGAGTGGCATTTAAACCTACAAACTCACTCAGGGACAAGCTCTGCAAGTGAAAGCACCCTGTAGGTTGATTCAGTTAGATTTAATAATATAATTTACGAAATACCCTGCAATAAATGTGAGTGGGGTCAACTACATATATCAAGCTATTAGGTCAGGGGTAGTCAGATTGTCAGAACATAAGAATTTAACTAAGGTAAGAATGGTTGACCCAGAGAAGATAAGTAATTTAGAAAAAATCTCAGCGACTGCACTGTATGCATTAACACACAACCACACAATATGGTGGGAAATGGTTAAAATTCTAAGAAGTAATCTATTTAGGTGGAGAGAGAGGTTGATTACTGAATCCTTGTTCATCAAGTCTACACCAAACACATATAATAGGAATGACTCATCACTATACCAAATATGGAAAATACTACTACTACCTATCAAATCAAGCGATGGAAAATAATGGAATTATATAAACGAAGTTAGACCTTGATATGATTATGAGCAATAAACTGTGCTCGAAACGTCATCAGTAAATATTACTGAATAACACTTTGAGATTCTATCAAAATAAATTTTACCCATAATGCAGTTATACTCTACCACAATGCACAAGTTTTATATAAATATTGTGCATGTCTCGAAGGAGGTAAAGAAGTATCATAAGAGATTGGTTTGCCCGTCAGTTCAGACAGCAATGTGTCATGTGATTTACTGTCAGTTACTATTTTACTCTACAATCCTGGACAAAGAGAAACTGTTATGCAATAATTTCCGCTGAAAATTCTTTACATTTTATAAACACTGTTCAGAATAAATCTAACACTACTATAATGTTATAGCGAAGATTTGTAGATCAGGTGGATGATTTGCAATTAGTTGTGTTCTCTGAGCTGGTTGGTTTAATCGCGGAGCAATTATTATCAGAAATGAAAGGATTGATGTGTTATCTCAAATCAAGAGAACGAATGATAACAACTGAAAATATACTTGGTGTAATCCCTATATAAACTAACGAATGTTGAAATAGGGTACAATGATATTGTAGTTTCGTTGAATTGAAATGAAATGGCGAAAAGTTTTCATTTCTAAAAGCTTAAAGTCATTTCTGGCTGACCAATTGTCTTTAAGGAATTTTACTCTTAACATATATTTTGAAAAGAATTTCAAACTGTCAGCGCTTAGTCTATCACAAATAAATTAATGCATCTTTTACTATCCTAAAATAAGTTAATCGCATTCTGGACAGTTTTGCAGTAACTTCCCTAACTGCTGTGTTGGATGGCTTGGATTCGAATTTCTAAGGAGATATCGGTTCCGACGTTACCAGTACTAATCACAAATAAACTTCATACCTAGGTTCAGGATATCCTACTCATTGTCTCAAACTGTCTAACACTGTTAGTTCACGCTTAAAAATTAACTTTTCATTGCGTTAATGAGTTAAAATAACCTCGCTAGCGGGTAGTATGCCCAGAAAAGATAGGAGGTTGGTTATGGGACTGACAAATCCGCCGCATAAAAACAACACCAGTGCCATTGGAACGTCAATGTTTGAGGTCTTATATGTCAGCTGACATACAAAGAAATGAAAATGAAGGAAACCAAAATAAAGTGCGCATGTTAATTTGCATGAGAAATTTTATTACAGGTATTTACAGCTCACTGTTGTGTTGATGTAAACATGAGATGACAGTTAATTACTTGCGTGGACTTACTTTGCAGGCGTGGCATCAGGCCTATGTATTCAACAAATGATACTTTTTGATTGTGAGTTACTAGGAAACGCTGAAAATTTATACTATAAATTATTTATGTAAAGTGTGTTGTATACGAAGCAGTTCAGGTGTAATTTGAAAAAAGTAATTACTCAATCTCAAATTCACCAAATAATATTTTGATAAGGTGACAGTGAACTTTTACATTCTTTTGGAGTTTGAGTTCATTTCCAACAATCAGTTAAGTATAAACCTAGTGACAATCGAAATCGTATAAACTCCTATCAGATTTAAGAGGATGTACACATCACAAAAAATTTGATACCATAATCCTATTTGTTTTCCACGAGTTGGTTCAATCTGTTTCAAGTCTAATCACCGATTGGCATCAGTCATGAAACTAAACGAAACTATGGACTACTGGATAGTTGTTTCGTTATAGTTTGAAACTTTCCAGCAGTATGCACCCGGTGGAGTTCAAACCCAGTACCTGTCAGTTGCATATATATAACACATACTTTCATCATCGCCTTACGATACCAAATGTTATTAATTGATAGAGATGTAGTCAACAGAAATTTATCACTATTGCTATTATTTCGGTGAGAGTAAAGAGTCTTTACTTTCTTCTAGGGTATCGAGTAATTCAGAGATTGGATATTCAGCAGTTCTAACTGAAATCAATGAAGTTTACAAGAGTAACATCGCCACTGGTTCTGTTTCAATTTTCTCAGTTATTAATAAATATTGATTTATTCTTCACCTTCAAGAAAGTTGTTTAACTAATAAACCCTGATAATATGAGAAGAATAGTGAAAGTTTATATCAGTTTTATGAAATTTAGTTGAAAATGAAACGAAACGGAAGAAATTCACCCATTGAACACCTATCAGTTAACTGGAAAAGAGTTCACTTCATATTTCGTGAAATACTTCAGACGATGTACTGTCACAGGCTGTTTTTGTTCTATTCTGTTACTTTATGGTTAGAATCTGTAGTAGGTGCAAACTCAAACGCCTATCAGTTTTCTTTATAAAGAAATTTTTTGTATTTCTCAATGAATGAAAAAGAACAAAACGATGTTATTTCTGGTGAAGTCTCTCTCTATAAAAAGTTGCTGATAGATGTTAGCCCATATACAGTAACTTGATCACAGTTCTTCAGTATGAGTATCATCACACCCCAACAGTGCAAAGGTATGTAATATGCCTAAAGTCTTCTTTAACAAGCACACTCCTTGATAACAGATGAAAAGGAAGAATAAATAGTAAGTATTACTGAAATTCTCAAGAAAAATAACTACATAAAGAACATCATTTCAAAAATCAACACCAACATTAAACATGGCCAAAACGTAAACCGATGAACCTCAAAAGCTATCATTCCAAATATATCAGATACGTCAGATGATATCAGGAGAGTACTGAACATACGTTATACCAGAGTTGTATTCGAAACACCAGACGCACTAAAAAACAACCTTGTACATGTGAAAGACTGAATTTCAAAGGAACTGCAATCTAACTGTTTATAAAACAAAATTCATAGAATGTGATGCCATACACATTGAACAGATATCGCAAGAAATCAAAACCAGAACAAATGAACCCTGTAGAGCCATCTTTTTGTCCACCAAGAAATCAAGTGGAACTAGAAAAGCTTGAAAAGTCATTAGCCATAGGCCTAAACGCTACTGAATGAGATGACAGAATTGATCTTGATAATATTAAAATCATCCGGAAAAATCTCAAAAATCACAAAGAACATCTTATATCAGAGGGTCTGCATATTCAGTGGAATCGAGATTGTTTGAATAGAAATGATGAGTTAAGATAGAATTCAACCTAGTTCTAAAGGTCATCCTCATGTAATGACAAAATCAACACGAATGTGATGCGTGACTCCACTGTGTAAACTGATACACTTTTTAAATCCAACAGTTTGCAGATAGTTTGTTGTCCCTAACAATCCATTCACTCGACAAAGTAAAAATTAAAATTACCACATACTGCAGAACTGTGACTAGGTTACTGTATATGAGCTGAGATTATATAAATTCTTGTTTAATATTACTTTGATATTGCTATTAGCAGCATTAAATAGTGAGACGTTAGTAAAGACGATATAGTTTTGTTACTCATTCACTTATTGAGAGATACAAAGATGGACATAGCTTTATCATTACTATTCACTCATAATCCAACATTTCAGGGTTAAATTACAATAAATTTACCACAAAGCAGTTACAACATGTTTTACTAACGGCGCTTACTGATGTTCTATTAAGAAAGAAAATCAAACATATTCATAAATGAATAGATAACTGGTTTTTTTTTATAAGCATAGTATTTGGGCACAGTGGTAGAGTACAACTTGATATGATTGTGAGCAATAAATTCTTCTCGAAACGTCATCAATAAATATTACTGTATAACACAATATGACTTTGCTCAACCATCTATACAGTATGACTTTATCAAATAAATTTTCTCCATGGCTTGTTATTTGAAAAAAATTTCACTTCCTTCACTAAAATATCCACTCAATATTTTCATTTATTTGGTTTATATTAGCACTAATGGATTTATGGCTCCTACTGATAACTTTGTGCGTCAGTGGCTCAGTGGTGGAATGCTCGCCAACTACGCAAGTGGTTAGGGGTTCGATCCCCGGCCGACGCACTCCTTTACCTCGTAATAAGACTGGTAAAGAGGCAAGGTTGGGTATGAGGCTAGCAACCTTACTCCGTAAGAATAGACACCACTGCTACCGAAACTTCAACGCTATAGCTGCCTCACATTTAACTGCTTATAACGTAATCAGACGGGACCCTAACTTATTTCTTCACTACTCATTCTTCCAAAATTATGCATTACATAATCCATTGGTTTGATTTTTGCAATTACTTGTACCTTTGAGCTGTTGTACTATTTCCTTCCTGGTCAACTAGTGGCCCCCTTGAAATGATGATACAGATTAATTATTGTTAACGAACTTATCACCATTAAACCATTAGATCAGTTTTTTCAAAAATACTCACTTTCTCCATTTACTGAATAAACAGTGAAAACTATACAGATGACAGCAAAATATACTGCGAGGAATTTCATAGTCTGTTTGTTGCTTCTTTGACCACGTAAAAAAATGAGGCAGTCAGAGGTATTCTTCCTTATATATATACATGTACATATATATATGACACTATACCCTGAACTAATTAAACCTAATCGGTGTACAAGCTGTAAAAATAATTAATAACAATAAAGAACTAACAGATTTAAACACAACTTTGCCAAATAAAATAATATTTACTTTCTCCGTCTGTATATTTCATAGGGTTTGCACTGTACTCAGTAATTTGATAGGGAAGAAACATAAATTTGAATTCTTATGTCAACAATGAAAAATACTTTTTTTACATTCAGGGTTTACATTCTACTCATTTTCTATCATACAATCTACATGTTCTAATAGTGTTTTATAAAATCACGCCTAGTATCTCTGTCATCTTCAAATACCTCAGGAATTATTATTATTATTATTATTGTATCCTTTAATTCCTACAGGAACATAAGGGTTCAGCCGTGCGTCTCCATTGCGTTCGGTTCTCTCCTACAGTCTTCACCTGGCTCCAAGTTTGCCCACACGTTTTCATCTCCTCTTCACATGACCTCCTCCAAGTCACCCTCACCCTTGCACTGACGACCAACTCGCCGCTTCCCTTTCGGGTTCCACTCGAGCGATGGCTTGTCTAGTGATGTCACTTGATGGATTGTTTCCTCAGAGTATGGCCAGCCAATCCATCTCCATTTCTTCCTGCCTGTTTGTCACACAATCGGTTCCTGCTCGGTTGGTTCGCTCATTGGCAGAGATCTCTGTTGCTGATCTTTTCTGGCCAGCTGGCCATCTGATCTTGAGTAGTATTGAGCGAAGATAACTGTTAATGAAGGTCTGTAGTTTGTTTGAGATGCTCTTTATGACGCGCAGTGCAAGTCTCTGATCCGTATAGTTAGTAGCACTGACTGGATTTCCCATTGGAGTTGAAAATCCGGATCTTATTTTTGATGCTGAGTGTTGTTGACCTCCACACAGACTTGAGAGTAGTGAAAGCTTGTCTTGCTCTTCCGATCCTTGCTTTGATATCCTCGTCAGTTCCGCCTGTAGTTGAAACGATGCTTCCCAGGTAGGTAAAGGAGGTTGTTTCTTTCAGGTTCCTCCCATTTATGCTGATTGTTGTCTGTTGTTGTTGTTGCTGTTGGTGGTGTTGGCCAGGAGTCTTCATCACCTCTGTCTTCTCTATGTTCACCTGAAGTCCTATCTTTGATGCTTCTTCTGCCAAAGTGTTGCTCTTCGCTTGCATGTCTTCCAGTTTGTGGGAAATCAGACATATATCATCGGCGAAGTTCAGATCCTCCAAGTTTTTTGTGTGTGTCCATTTTATGCCTGTTTCCTCATTGCCCACTGTTTGTCGCATTATCCAGTCTACTGCAATCAAGAAAATCATTGGCGATAGTAGGCAGCCAGCTTGTCTTACTCCTGTCCTCACTTCGAAGGGTTCCGTAAGTTTCCCATTGTGGATTACTTGGCATGCAGCACTGTCGTATGGCTGTTGGATGAGGTGTATTATTGTCGGTGGCACCCCGTAGTAGCGAAGTATTTTCCAAATCACCTCTCGGTCGACGCTGTCAAAGGCCTTTTCAAAGTTGATGAAGTTGAGATAGAGAGGTGACTGGCACACCTCAGGAATAATAATAATAATATAGACAATAGCTTTATTCCGTACAAAAGCCTTCCGCAATATGTAGGAGTTTCAATGTTGTTTTATTGCATCAGATTTTCTCTTCATCCAGGATCTTTAAGTAAAATAGGAACCCAATGGTATATTATGTGACGCAGTACTGTTCTTTCGTTGCCAAGAAATGCACAGCATTAGGTTGAAAGCCAATTAAAATTATGCCTGAATGCAATTGATAACCCATCGACGTAACTGAATGGTCAAAATAAAAATAAATAGACAAACTGTCATGTACTGAATGAGATGTGAATTCAAATATGTCACTGATTCAAGCAGGTCGTGGTCTATAATCAACTATAAGGTTGGAAGACAAACATGAAGACGTTTGATGCTAGGACATAATTGGCGTCATTCAACACTGACGTTGGAGTATGGCGTCTAAAAACTGTGTAGTATTTCATCTAGCTTGTCATCGACTATGCGTTGGTAGACAATCATTTTAAATTTCTCTGGGAACCAGGTTCTTGCTTCACTCATCGTTAGCATCCTTTTATCGCATCATTATTCCCATACTGTCTGACAAAGAACTGTAGATATCTGATTACCGATCAAAGGATGTGTGTACTGATCACCAGTTCGCCCCATTCTCCCTTATGGCTGAGACACAGTCATTCAAAGTGGAAAACATGAAAATGGTTAGTTGTCTTTGATCATAGGTATGTGCGTTCCATATCCCGTGTTAGGTGGCATACAAGGGTGAGTGAAACTGAGATTGGGTGTCAAGTGTAAGGTAAGACGAGAAAGTCGTTCGATGAGACTGTGAAGCTATATAGGTTGAGAGGGCCAGGATATGTGTTACGCAGATCTTATTCGCTTTTACGGTTACTATTCTCTCTGCCTCACATTTCTCTTCACTATCGTACTTTCAAATCCATTTCTTCCTTCTTTTGTCATGTGTTTTACGTGCTACATGGTTTGTGGTACCTCAAATTGCTGCTCTTCTATGCAAAGTCCTATTCTGAAATTAGCCAGTTAGCCAGACTGTTGAAAATAGCCTCCAACTAACTTCATTGGCCACTAATGCTACATTTCAGCATGAAAAATAACTTTGTCTCGATTGAAATCAGAACGAAGTATTATTCCAGTTTAAGTTTAAGGATCTAAAGCAAGGTGTACTTGACAAACCATAAGGCTACCCAGATTTCATCAGTAAAGTCAAGTTTGAACATCATTTAGGCCAAAACTATCCTGAATGAAACAGTGTGCGTCGGTGGCACAGTGATTAGGACTCTCTCTGATCACCATACACATGGTCCGGGGTTCGATCCCCTGCCGAAGCACACCTGGTATCTAGGGTTGGCCTGCAAAATTTGGGCTACCGATACCACATGCTGAAAATTCCATACTTGTACCAAAAAATATGGTGTACACAATCAAGCTGTGATAAAAAATAAAATAAATAAACATATTTTAGATATTTGTAAAGCTCGGAAGATATTTGTTGTAAGCAAAGGCCCCCTTTTACTGGGTGTTAGCTCGAATGGAATTAAAAGAGTTTATTCATTAAAATTAACGAAAACGAATAATGTTAGTAATAGGAACAGCTTTATTCTGAAACAGTGTTTTTTTTTTATCCTTCACGTTCCCCAGGGGAACATAGGGCTTCAAGCTAGTGGCTTGAAGTTTCCGTAGCAGTGTTTATTTTTACAGGATGGGGTTGCTAGCCTCATGTCCAACCTTTCCTCTTCACCAGCATTATTTCTGGCTTAGTGAGGTAAAGGAGTGCGTCGGCCGGGGTTCGAACCCCGGACCATGTGAATGGTCGGCGAGCGTCCTAACCGCTATGCCACCGACGTACAACAATGAAACACTGTAATGTATTTAATTTCCAGCGGCCCTTATCGTATGGTATTTTGTTTTTGTTCATGATCTTCAAATAAAAGAATAATCGACAGTCGATTGTGTGACACAGTTCTGTCTGACCTGAAGCGCAAACCAATTCATTATGATGTCTGTTGTTTTTCTCCTTTTGAGAAATACGCAACATTTGACTGAATGACAATTATAAAAGGTTTAGGAGTACATTTTTTTGCACCAAGGACACCATTCAAGAACTGTCATCTCGTGTATTGGGATAAGCTCTCATCGAGGATAATGCTTTTTCTCATGTTTAGTATAACCGACATATCAGTAGGTCGTAAATGTTTATAACCTTTCCTATAGTAAACAATGCTATTAGAGAGCATACTTTAATAGAGAACACAAACAGGACAGAAGAAACTATATGCAATATATTGATAGAGATTTTCGGTAACCGATGCTTTAAGCAGGCCGCCATTTATTCAAATTACAGGATTTGTAGAGATTCGGGATTAAGTTCACTTGTTGGATTTTAGTCACGAACCAACATCAGTTAGAGGGATCGTTTAAAGTCAGGGAGTGTTGGACAGCTGTTTTGTCTTATTTTGGTACGAAGCCAAGCTCGTCTTTCAATCAGCCACTTGGGCTAGAATTTGATAACCTCTGAATTCGAACTTTTTCATTTCGTCATATAGCACTGTCCTCACAAGTGCCTTCGACGAGCATCCAATTAACTTTGATATCATAGACTCTTCACTTCGAAGGATTCCGTGAGCTTCCCGGAATCCTTCGAAGTGAAGACAGGAGTAAGACAAGCTGGCTGCCTACTATCGCCAATGATTTTCCTGATTGCGGTAGATTGGATAATGCGACAAACAGCGGGCAATGGGGAAACAGGCATAAAATGAACACACACAAAGAACTTGGAGGATCTGGACTTCGCCGATGATATATGTCTGGTTTCCCACAAACTGGAAGATATGCAAGCGAAAAGTAACAAGTTGGCAGAAGAAGCATCAAAGATAGGACTCCAGGTGAACATAGAGAAAACGGAGGTGATGAAGATCCCTGGCCAACACCACCACCAACAACAACAGACAGCAATCAGCATAAATGGAAGGAACCTGAAAGAAACAACCTCCTTTACCTACTTGGGAAGCATTGTTTCAACTACAGGCGGAACTGACGAGGATATCAAAGCAAGGATCGGGAAAGCAAGGCAAGCTTTCATTACTCTCAAGTCTGTGTGGAGGTCAACATCATTCAGCGTCAAAAATAAGATCCGGATTTTCAACTCCAATGTGGAGTCAGTGCTACTCAATATACGGATCAGAGACTTGGCGTGTCACAAAAAGCACCTCAAACAAGCTACAGACCTTCATTAACAGATGTCTTCGCTCAATACTCAAGATCAGATGGCCGGAAAGGATCAGCAACAAAGATCTCTGGGAGCGAACCAACCAGGAACCGATTGTGAAACAAATAGGCAGGAAGAAATGGAGATGGATTGGCCAC